AGAGCATGATAGGACATCTTTCTAGTACATGAGTCTGAGCACATTGGACTGTTGCTGAAACCTTCATTGAATTTCTATGGCTCTTAAGATAAATCCTATTCCTTAACATTACCTGAAAGGCCAAACTTGAACTCTGCATACCTCTTCATTTTTCCCACTCCTCCCTACAACGGTATACTCCAAGTTTGTTTATTCTCTCCTAATCCCCAGAATATATTATGCTTGTAACTCTGTTCCACCTTCTTTTAATATGATTAACTCTTACTCATATTTTAGGTTTAAAATGAAATGTAATATCCAATATGAAAGTCTTAACTGAACTCCTTAAGTCTAGATTAGGTGGCCTTCCTATGTGCTCACAAAGTACTCTGTATAATGCTTTCACAGAGTTATAATACAATATTACAATTACCTGGTACTTATCTCTCTCCTTACTAGATTGTAATTATCATGAGAGCAGAGATCATGACTTTCTTATACGCCATTTACAGAAATACAGCTTCAATTCTGGGTGTGAGATAGCAATAAGACTTTAATAGACTTTGATCTTCAAAAACACCAGGGACTGAAGACCAGATGAGTTGTGGGATGGCATCAAGAACATCATACACGAAGAAAGAAAAGGTCACTAAAAAGACAGGAAAGGAAGATAAGACAAAAATGGATGTCAGAAGAAACTCTGAAATTTGCCCTTGAATGGAGAGTAGCTAAAGCAAATGGAAGAAATGATTAAATAAAAGAGTTGAACAGAAGATTTCAAAAGGCAGCTTGAAAAAGTATTATAATGAAATGTGCAAGGACCTGGAGTTAGAAAACCAAAAAGAACATGCTCAGCATTTCTCAGGCTGAAAGAACTGAAGGAAAAATTCAAGCCTCAATTTGCAATACTGAAGGATTCTATGGGCAAAATATTGAATAATACAGGAAACAACAAAAGAAGATGGAAGGAATACACAGAGTCACTGTACCAAAATGAATTAGTTGACATTCAGCTATTTCAGAAGGTAGTATATAATCAGAAACCAATGATACTAAAAGAAGTCCAAGTTGTGTTGGGAGAATTGGCATAAACAAGGTTTCAGGAATAGATGGAATACCGATTGAGATATTTCAACAAATGAATGTAGTGCTGGAGGGGCTTGCTCATTTATGCCAAGAAATTTAGAATATAGCTACCTGGCCAACTGACTGGAGGAGATAGGTATTTGTGCCCATTCCAAAGAAATATGATCCAACAGAAGGTGGAAATTACTGAACAGTATCATTAATATCACACACAAGTAAAATTTTGCTGAAGATAATTAAAAAATGGTTGCAGCAGTGTGTTGACATGGAATTTCCAAAAATTCAAGTGGGGTTCAGAAGAGGACATGAACAAGGGATATCATTGCTGATACCAGATGGATCTTGGCTGAAAGAATATTAGAAAGAAGTTTACCTGTGTTTTATTGACTATGCAAAGGCATTCTACTATGTGGATCATAGCAAATTATGGATAACATTGAGAAGAATGGGGATTCCAGAATACTTAATTGTGCTCATGAGGAACCTATACATAGACCAAGAGGCAGAACAAAGGGATACTACATGGTTTTAAATTAGGAAGTGTTGTGTGTGCCAGGGTTGTATCCTTTTACCATATTTATTCAATCTGTGTGCTGAGCAAATACTCCAAGAAGGTAGACTATATGAAGAGTGTGATGTCTGAATTGGAGGAAGAATCACTAACAACCTGCAATATGCAAATGAATAACCTTGCTTGCTAAAAGTGAAGACTTGAAATACTTACTTACTGACCACACTGGTCTTCAGTGTGGATTACACCTCTACAAAAGAAAACAAAAATCCTCAGAACTGGACTGCTAAACAACATCACAATAAATGGAAAAAAGATTGAAATTATAAGGGATTTTATTTTACTTGGATCCACAATCAACACCCATGGAAGTCATCCTCAGGCAGACCTGCATCAACCTAGGCCTGATGTTAGCCCTTTACTCATACCATTATGTCCCCAGGGCCTAGAACATTGCTCAATGAGTACTTGTTGGATTCTACCACAAGTAATTTCTTTGGCTATATTATATTATAAGGTCCTGGAGATAAGAGATAATATAACCCAATATGTAGGCAGGAGTCAGATCAAGGCCTCAAATGCCATGCAAGTTTAGATTTTAACCTGTAGGACAGGGAATGGAGAGTGAAAAAAGAAAAAGAAAGGGTTAGATTTGCATGATAGAAAAAATATTTTGGTAGCATTATGGAGAGCATATTGTTGTTGTTGTTATTTGCCGTCGAGTCGCCCCCGACTCATAGCGACCCCTCCTTGGGTTTCCGAGGCAGTATCACTACGGAAGTAGGATTG